AACAAATCCCAGCGCACGGAACACAATCATTACTGGAATTTCCTGAAAAAAAAAAAAGTCACATAACAATGGTACCACGATGGCTCAAGTTATCTGCCTTAGAACACAGGAAAAAAATTAACCTGCTTAATGTACGGTAAAATTGCAATAATTTTTGGGCCCATTGCAGATTTCTTGTTGCTACCGCCGCCGCGGGGTAGCATATTCACCCAGAGCGTCGACGTTGGACGACTAAAACAAATTTTATAATTCAGACAAATAAACGAGCAGTGGGAGTTTTATATTCTTATTCCTCTTGAACTTTATAAAGCCTTGCTGATTTCGAAAGGGTGGCGTGTATGCATCAAGCAAATGCTAGGTACCAGTTGGAACTATGTAGTAAAGTAAAGGGTCGAAGGATTTGACATTTTTCAAAAAATTTCAGTGCAATTTTGCAAGATATCGGCAATTGTAAAACCTGGAATTCTCAAGACAAGAACGGCATTCTGTTTTGTACGTATACTTTCCATCCTTCATCGCAAACACATAAACTGTGTTTGTTGCCATCTTTTCTTGAGCAATTAAAACCTAAAATTTTAGCCAATTTAGTCACGAAACAATGACTAATGATGTTAAAAAGTAAGATTCATATGAGGAAAAAGAGAAAAATAAAGCACAAGCAGAATAATTTAAAAGAGGAAACATAAAACTTTGCTCTCATTGCAAAACTTTCCTTAAATGCGCCACACACGCACTCTACTTCAAAGTTGACCGCTATAACGAGAAGTGACCCTAAAGTGATTGAAAAAATGCTTGGCAAGAAGTTACCTTTTCGGATCCATTAATAACAAAATAGCCGCCGGGATCCAATGGGCATTCATTGAGTTCCGATAAATCACGATCCGACATATTTGCCAGCATGCAATAGGACGACCTAGCAAAGCAAATCCAAGTTTTAATTAGAGGGGAAAAGTGAAACGCATATTTTAAACATTTTCTGTGACAGGCGACGACACTCGGAACTGACTATCGTTGTCCCCTCACAGCGCTTTTCCATTTTAGGCACGAATTTTGGCGCCCATTCGAGTAATACCCTAAGCTATGGGGCCGCTAATCCGGCCCC